TATTAATAGACTTACGTTTTAGACACTATATTGCCTATTTTTGTTCTATTTTGCCAACAAAAAATGTATCCAAACACAGCCAAAGCACTGTTTTGCATCTCTGAGCAACATGATGGCATTTCGTTCCTGAATGAATCAACGGTTTAAATTATTTGGTTCAATTGCAATGATTTAACAGTGAATTGCTGCCACCTACTGGCTTTTAATTTTTACTGTACTTTTAATTTCACATTTAAAGTACCTTAACGTTTTTTTTTATATATAATTTCAAATATCAGTATTCTACGCTTTATTATTAAAATATCAAAAACATTATTTATGCATTTGTAACTGCAGGTTAAATGCATTCATGTCCTATATTAAACAGTGTGTAAATACATCTAAATGCCTCTTCAGATGCAGCTTCTGTGTTTCCTCTGCATTGCAATGGTGAATTTTGTTGATAATGATTTTGTTATTCTAAATGTCTTATTATTCTAATTGACTTTATTGATTAAATATAAGAATTTGAACAAAAGATAATGCACACTTCTAGAAAAAAAGGCTTTATGAAGGTAAAAATGCCCATAAAGGGTAAAAATCACTTTAAACTTGTTGGAAAAGATTAATTTCTGTCACTGCTGTGAACTGACCACCATGCAGAATATGAAGAAAATTAGAAACTTTAGGAGTCAACTGTCCATGGCAGTCCTGCAGCACAACACACTCAGCAAAATATTGCCTGATTATCGTTATCGATAAAATAGAGATATAATTTTGTGTCTATTATCGCACACCCCTAGGCTAGATATTTAATTCTTCTTTGGTTAGTGATTGTTTGGAACACATAATTCTCTGATCATCGTAAAATAAGCTTTTATCTTACAATCAGGTTTTCTCAATGATAACGAGGACAAGACAAAAAATATGAATCATATTTACATAAGGATTTATTTATTATTTGAAGGGGGCGTGGGGGGGATCTGGTTAGGGGGACCCCCCAAGAGCTTTGACACAATTCGAACACTGCCTTCAAGCAGTCTTATCGTCCCGACACGTGAGTTTGAACGAGAATGCACGTGTTGGCGGTAATGCATAGACGGACATTTAATCAATGTATCAATCCATATCGATGGATCGTTACACCCCTAGTATGCCATAGACTCAATAGTGGAAGAAGAAGAAGGAAACGGAAGAAACAGAAAAAGAAGAATGCCAACTATTACAATATGTGCCTACGCACCTTCAGAGCTTGGCCCCTAAAGATAACTAGAGTTCATTTTACAAGAAAGTAGTATTTCATTCTTTCTTATTTTACCAAGGGAGTACCTTAAAGGAGATCCTCATATTTAGGGGTCCATGGTACCAAAAACTTTGAAAACACCTGACAAAAGCATGTTTAAAGGGGTCATATGATGTTGCTAAAAAGAACATTATTTTGTGTATTTGGTGTAATGAAATGTGTTAAGGTTCAAAAAACACATTATTTCCCACATACTGTACATTATTGTTTCTCCCATATGCCTCGCCTTTCTGAAACGTGTCGATTTTTACAAAGCTCATC